CCCCAGAAGCCCTGATGGCCACTACAGCAGCAAGCGAGTGCAGGGCTTTTAAAAAAAAAAGAAAGAGCTGGAACACTGAGGCTGGGTAGGGCAGCCATTGACAAGGCTGGGAGAGGGGGCAGGGGATGGGGCCTGGCAGGGCCCCCCTATGGTTCCTTTCCCCCCTCCTCCATACCCTCCTCACTCCTGCCCCCTACTTACAGTCACACAGCCTGAGTCCAGCTCCCTGCATCAGCAAGCAGGGACTGCCTAAATTGCTTTCTCCGAATCAATTTGGACCATTTTATTGGTCCCCCAATTTGATTCAGATTCAGAGATTTAGTCACCAAATTGGGCCGAATCGCCTCCAAATCAAATCACCACCCAAAGCTTTGCATAGCCCTAGTGGATAGTAGTATGTGAGGCATGGCATTCTATGCCAGTCTCCCCCATTGTTGGATCACATAATATAGGTGAAAAGAATAAAATTACTTAGGAATAAAGCAAAACAACTCTTGGTGTAATAAGGTAGCATTTGAAATAAGTCGGAACTGCAAGAAGCCAAAATATGCAAGAAAGGAAATCCTCCCAATACCTCATATAGGTCCCAAAGCCTATTATAGCCTCTGATGCAATACCACCTAGAATTAATTTGCACAGCCACATTGTCATGCCTGATGACTAAACCAATTCTACCAACGCCTCCGCACACAAATCTATTCAGCCACTTTGTCAACACAAGTACTTTCCCTTTGTAGGGCACCTGTTACTATATGGCCCTTTGAATGGAGAATCAAAGTTCAGCTCATCCAAATCAGGCTCTCTGCTCTTCATTCTTTTTTGAACTGCTAAATGGCAGCCCTGTTCACTGTTTCTGCCCAAAGGCTTGCTTAGTTCAAGTTTTCCGTCACCTCAGTTCACACAAATAATTTTTTCCATCTGTTGTAGATACACATGGAAAAACTGGGTATATTCGCTGTCCAGTTCTGTGCCTAATCTTCAAATTGTTAAGAGTGTCTTTACATGTGCCCTGGGGGACGGGGGTGCTTTATTTAGAGCAGCTCTCAGGAGCCACTCTAATTAAAAGTGTCCAAAGCTTCTATACACTTCAGTTAAAAGCGCCCCCACCACCATTTTGAAGCACGGGGATGGTGAATACACGTGACACTGGGCTGCTGTAGAGCGGCAATTAGCTTAATTGAGTCTGCTCTGACATGTTAATTAGCAGGGGCTGGGCATGTGTATAGGTGCCCTAAATGTCTTGAAACTCGTAAGAATGTAAGAGCTGCCATTTACTGCATCAAGCCATAGGTCCATCTTGCCCAGTGTCCTGCATCTCACAGTGTCAGAGAGTGGATGCTGAAAGGGAAAGTGAACAGGATGACCAGGGTTTCTCCCTTCTTCTCCCACTTGCAACCTCCAGCATTAAATTTAAGGTCTAGGAAGTTATGGTGCTTACAGGCATGGAAAAAAACCAATGCTTTTAACTTTCAAACTTGGCACGTCCTCATGCCAAGTGCAGCACATGCCCAAAAGAAGAAAGGGATCACTTTGACCCGGCGCACTCAGCATCTGTATAGCACACGTGTTTCAGCAGGGCTGTTTGGCACTTTTATCCAACAGCTATTTGAATCAGCTATTAGATAAAAGTACCAAAAAGCCCCACTGAAGTACGCAGGCTACACAGACACTAGGTGAGCCAGGTCAGGCTCACACGATTCCTCTTCTGGTAAAGGACTTCTTCACCTCTCCCTGTCTGTCAGCACCCTGTGTGACAAAATTTGTTACACTATTTGTAGCAAGACTCAAAGGCACTTGTCTTATTTTGTTACAAACAATTTGAAATAGGCAAATTTTTGAAAATCTTGGGAAACTGTATTTTCAAGTTAGCGAAACAAATGTGATTTATCTGCTATGTCACAACATTTTCCTTCCCACCCCACACCCCCATCTTATTGACAGTAGGGCCATCAACACAATAGTCTATTTGTGAATTTTCTCCACAGTCTAAAAAAGTGTTATACGGTGTCATTTTTATAGACATTAAACCTTAAAAGTTCTGCTTGGGCGCGCGCACACACACACACACACACACACACACACACACACACACACAGAAGAGCCCTTATTTTGTGTGGTATTTATTTTTAGGACCCACAAACCTCCCTTTTTTCTGAAAAAAGATGCTAACTTAAATACCAAGTCTCACTGACCCACCACTTGGTCTCTTCAGAGTGGAAACTAAGGAGGGAGAAGAACTTGCAAAGCTCACAACAGGCAGATCAATATGAATAAACCAAGATATAATCACGAAAAATACCCTCCATCCCATGCTCCCACTCTAGGCCTTTTCACAGTAAGTGCAGCAACACTGGCAGATTGTCACTGGTTGGCTTTTTCCCAGTGCCCATCAGCAGTGTCTGGGGGGTGGAAAAAGAAAAAGAAAAAAAAAAAAAAAAATCAGAGGACTTACTGAGGGAAACAGATGCTTTGTTACTCTGAATTGTAAATGCTATCTCCCCCCAAAAGAGTGTGCTTTACAGGGCTACATCTTAGTTTTCACTCTGTGATGCCACTTGCAGAGGAAAACATTTTTGTATGAGGAAACAGGGCAGTTTGCTGGGAGCAAGGGGACAAAGAGGAAAAGGAAGAGGAGCCTGGCACCAGATCCTGCTCTGGGCAGGTAAGTGAGCCATGGCTTGCAGAGTGTTTGTTCGATGGGCTGTTTTTGGGTTCGTGCTCTGAGCAGCTGGGAGTGCCGCTAGCTTGTGTTGGATGAAAACCCTAACAAGGAGATGGATCCAGTCCAGGCCCAGGAAACTATAAAAAAGGAGACTCCTGAGGGACCAGAGGCAGCAAACAGGGCAGTTTGCAAGCAGTTGGCAAGTCAGTTTGCCTCCCCCGCTCTTTGAAACAGAGCCTTTAAGATAAATTTCCTTCTTTAACTAGCCGGCATCACTCTGCCCGGGGGGAACCAGCGGGAATCAGGGGAGGCTCTGTTGCCCCGGGCACCACCCGGGGTTACTAGGAATAATGACCACAAATTGTTCAAGAGAAGGTTCAGGCTGGACAGCAGGAGACATTACTGTCAGCAGTGTGAGTCAGCAGTGTGACGAAGCCATCAAAAAAGCCAATGGCACTTTATCGTGCATCAGCAGATGCATGACGAATAGGTCCAAGGAGGTGATACTTCCCCTCTATCGGGCGCTGGTCAGACCGCAGTTGGAGTACTGTGTGCAATTCTGGGCACCGCACTTCAAGAGGGATGCGGATAACCTGGAGAGGGTCCAGAGAAGGGCCACTCATATGGTTAAGGGCCTACAGACCAAGCCTTACGAGGAGAGGCTAGAGAAACTGGATCTATTCAGCCTCCGCAAGAGAAGGTTGAGAGG